ACTTGGTCCCGTTAGTGACGTTTTTAAAAAATAAGATTGGAGAGTTTGGAACCTTTAGGCTATTCAGTCTTGCTGGAGGAAGTGCATCACTGGAGGTGGGCTGTGGGGGTTTACAGACTCCCCTACTTCCTTCTCTTGTGCCACAGAAATGTCATCAGCCAGCCTACTACTCCTGAACACACATGTCTTCCTCGCCATTATGGACTCTAGCCCTCTGGAAGCATAAGCCAAATTAACTTTTAAAATATATATATTTATTATGTATACAGTGTTCTGCCTGCATGTATCCCTGCAGGCCAGAAGAGGGCGCCAGATCTCATTACAGATGGTTGTGAGCCACCATGTGGTTGCTGGAAATTAAACTCAAGACCTCTGAAGAGCAACCAGTGCTCTTAACCTCTGAGCCATCTCTCCAGCCCCCAAAATTAAACTCTTAAGTTGCTTTTGAACCTGGTGTTTTATCACAGCAACAGAAAAGTGACTAATGTGGGTAAGAGGATGAAAGACTAGGAACATTTCTTTCTGTTCTAATGGATGAACTATAACTTAGAAACAAAAAGAGAATTTTCATTTATATTGAAACTATCTTGTTCCAGTCAGACTTCATCAAAGACAATATTGCAACATTTAAACCTAAGAGCCCTACAGGATACAGTCTATTGCTGACTGTGCTGTACAAAGATATCAATTAAAGCAACTTGCCCAAAGGCCAACCGGCTAGTAAATGATCTAAGATTCACACTCCAACTCCCAAATTTTGGGTGTGTTTTGGTTTGTTTGGTATATGGTTTAATAGTTTTTTTTTTTCATAAATGAGTTTTTAAGGAGAGTGAGCAGCAAATATATGCTACTAAACTATCTCATCCATCCTAGATGTCTCACTGTGCTGGCTAATTTTACACCAACTTGACACAGCCTACAGTCATCTGAGAGATGGGAACCAAAATTGAGAAAATGCCTCCATAAGACTGGGCTACAGGCAGGCCAAGCCTGAAGGGTATTTTCTTAATCAGTGATTGGCAGGGGACAGCCCAGCCCACTGTGGGTGGTGCCATCCCTGGGCTAGTGGTCCTGAGTTCTATAAAAAAGCCTGAGTGAGCCACGAGGAGCAAGCCAGTAAGCAGCACCCCTCCATGGCCTCTGTATCAGCTCCTACCTCCAGGTTCCTGCCCTGCTTGAGTTCCTGTTCTGACTTCCTTCAATGATGATCAGTGATGTGGAAGCATAAGCCAAATAAACCCTTTCTTCAACTTGCTTTTCATCATGGTGTTTCATCACAGCAATAAAAAAAAAAAAAAAAAAAAAAAAAAAAAAAAAAAAAAAACAAAGAAACCGGGCAGTGGTGGCACACACCTTGGGAAGCAGAGGCAGGCAGATCTTTGTGAGTTTGAGGCAGTCTAGTCTACAAAGTGACTTGCTACACAGAGAAACCCTGTCTCAAAAAACCTAAACAAAACAAAACTCTAAGACACTCATACCTGCTGTGTTCCCAGGTCTTTGCAGTTAGGCTATACAGAGAAACCCTGTCTCGAAAAACCAAATATATATTTATATATATACAAACACACACACACACACACACACACACACACACACACACACACACACACGCAGATACTCTTTCCTGAGGCCCAGTGTAAAGTTTGACATACAGAGTCTCAATGAGCACTAACTAATTAAATGGACAGACTGTATCAGCCACAAGCTATGGCTTCCCACAAATCGGGAAATCAAGGCAAAGCCAGGTGAGAAGGTATAGATGAAAGTTTCTGTCCCAGCTGGTTTAGTCCCAAATAAACTCAAAGAGACTTATATTAATTATAAACCTACTTGGCCTATTGCTCAGGCTTCTTATTGGCTACCTCTCTCTTAATTAGTAATCCATTTCTATTAATCTGTGTATCTCCATGTGGTCTTGGCTTACTGGTGATGCCTGGACCTCTTGCTTCCTCAGCAGCTACAGGAGTCTCCTTGACTCCACCTACTACCTTTCTCTATCCCTGTTGGATTTCCCACCTGACTAAATTCTGCCTGTCCATTGGCCAAAACAGCTTTATTCATCAACCAATAAGAGAAACATATATTCACAACATACAGAAGGGCATCCCCCATCAAGGAGACACACCGAACTCTTTTAAGTTTGTCCTAGGCTTAGTTCAAATGACAGGAACAAAAAAAACGACATAGTCATTGTAGTATTAATAGGTGAAACTTGTAAGAATCAGCAGAGATCTTTTTCATTGTGGAGGAAGGAGGCCAAGAGCTCAGTCAATTTGCCCTGCCGCAGCAAGTGCCAAGTTTTAATTCAAATGGTAAAATGCAATGCAATGTCATCTTCTGGACTCCATTTTAGCTGACTAAGGCTCCTAAACAGGTCTGATGGGAAGGATCAGGGAGGGAAGGAAGGATGAAGATAAAGTAGCTCCTACAAATTGAGAGCCAACATGCATGGTTGTGTAAGCATGCAAATGCACACACTGGGTTAAGAAAGAGCCAGAAGACAGAAGCAGTCTGCCTTACACACAAGAGAATGGTTGAGAAGGAGGAGATGTGAGCCACTCTTTCCCATTTCATTAATAAAAATGGTCCAGAGAGGGGACAGTGATCCAGTCCCCTAACACAAGAACACGCATGACAGAGATGTTACCTTCTGTAGTGCTCAGAACAAGGCACTTGGTAATGTCTTGTCTTATCTTACTCAGACACCATCCCTCACCTAGCTGAAGACATAAACAAAGGTGCTGTCACCCTGAACTGACTGACCAGAGAGGATACGATGATGCTTAAACACAGATACCCCTTAGCGAAAGCAAGAACAAGACCACCACACTGAGAGAACTTAAACACACAGATGTCCCTACGCAAAAGCAAGAACAAGACCACCCATCACACTGGGAGAAAGGAACCTTGCTCAAATTCAAAGAGGGGAGAAAGAAGAGGGTAAGGAGATGTGCCGTTTAGATGAGACCAACATCTGGATGTTGAGAGAAAACAGCAATGGTAAGATCTCAAAGGGACTCTGCCTGAAAAGGTACAAGTCTCGAGCAAGTGAATTCTAACACAATAACCCAGGAAAGAGGCGGCAGGAGGCCCTGCCACTGAGGGTCAAGAACACAACACAGTGAGGTGCTAGAGGATGTGACCCAAGATACAAAAACTGCCAGCAAGTCAGGGGAGGGAGGAAAGAGGTGTAGGCTCACAGAATGAGAGCAGCGAACCTGAAAATGCATGAACTATTAGCTGCAGTCAAAGCTTAAAAAAAAGGAATCAGGGAGGAAGTGACCCCCTGTAGGCAACAGAGGCAGAAAATGGGGAACTGCCTGTCTGTACCCTTGAAAAATCATTCCAGTGCCCTCCATTCCTGGGAAACTTCTCCAGCCACTTTGAGAGAGTCAGCCCCTCTTTCTTCCTCATCCCCACAAACTTTTAAGTCAGCACTTAACAGTTGTTACGATGTGAATATAAGATGCCCCCACCCCTGCCCAATTAATGTTGTTAGTGCTGTTTTGGGAGGTTCTAGATAGTTCAAGAGGTTGAGACCTGGTTGGAGAAGGGTCACCAGAGATAGTAGTCCTTACATGTATCCTATCACCAGCTCCTCCTGTCTTGCTATTATTCCCTGTCTGCCACAGGTGCACAGCTCTCCTCTGCCACATTCTTCCAAGCACACCGGAAACAGAAAAACAAATGCATATATGTTCACCTACACTTTTGCAAACAGGCAGAAGCCAGAAAGAGATGACAATTATTCTATGACCTGCTAAAGTGTTCAAAACATTAAAATTTCCTTCAAATTATAAATGAATACATAAATTTTAAAACAAAATTTGAATCTCTTCAGTTAAAACATTAGAGATATTAAGAACATGTTTCACATTCTTGCAATCAAAACCATGATAGTAGTCTCCGAGTTATGTGCTCACACTGTAGAATGAACACGTTTTCTAGTCCCCATGTTCTGTGCACATGCTGTGGAATGAACATGTTTTCTAAGTTAATAAGCTGCCTCTTCCTTTCTAGGTTGAGAGTAGTTTTTACTCTACCCTCTGCAGTGTGGCACCATGAAGCATCCAAGAGTGAAGGTTTCCCAGTGCAAAGACCTCCTTATCTCTTTCAACCAAACTCCTTCCCACAGTAATGTCCAGAGACTATGTTGTGAGTCCCTGTCTGCACACGCAGAGCCCTGGGCAGCAACATCTATATGCTCACTTTTAGGTATCAGTCCTATAATTCTACTTACATTTGGCTCAAATTTCCTTTCCAGAATTACTAATTTTCATTTCTTGGCAGAAATTCCATCTTTGTTACTGTCTATCAACTATCTGTTTTTACAAAATAGATTATGAGTTTCTCAGTAGGAGACAATGAAGAAACACAATTGCAAACTTCCCAGATAGCCAGATGACCAATAACAAAATGACTCTTTTAAAAGAAAGATGGTTTGTCACTACCTACAACAAGCATCTGCCATATACATAGTGACCTGTGGGCTGAAGCACTCACAGTGAAGTTTATGTTCTACACCATGACTCAATGGCAATACACCACACAGCTAAACTCTGAGCTGTGCTGCCAGTGTGTATTATTTACAGGTTATTTACTCTGTAGTAAATTCATGAGCAATGGAAAATGAAGACTACAAAAACATATTACTTGGACATATGCACACTAAAGACCCATTATGATTTGCTTTAAGATAAGGTGCATGTTAGACCTGGTTTTCAAACTAGGTTGATTCCCCCTACCCCACCACACACACACACACACACACACACAGAGAGAGAGAGAGAGAGAGAGAGAGAGAGAGGGAGAGAGAGGGAGAGAGAGATCACTCTACTCTGCAGCCTGATAGGCAGGAGCAAATGATTCCAATTCTGGCTCAACATGACGATCTCCAAGAGGAATAGTGCCCCACATTCCACACACACACACACACACACACACACACACACACACACACACACACACACTCTAGAAAGAGGAGGAGGAAGAACAAGACAGAAAACATGGAATATTTCACAAATGTGCAGGTCACGTGCAGGTGTCCCACTACTCTTCTCTGTATAGTTCCAATTTCAGTGAATGTGCTGCCACCAAACCAGACTGATGTTTGCCCCCAAGGTACACTTGGCAGTATCTAGCAAAAAGTTTGATCATCAATGCTTTGGGGAACACACTGCAATTGCATATATTGCAGAGATTCCTACAAAGCACAGGTCAGAATCACCCTCTTTCATTCCCCACCTTCACCTCCACTCTCCCCAGCCCCCACCACAAAGATTCATCTAGTCAATAATATCAAGAAAGGCTGCTTTAAACCAAAGAGTCCAGATTAAGCTAATCTTAACAGTAGCTTTTTCATCAAATGAAAGCAAGGATTAAATGACACAATGGCAAGCAGAACTATGCAGCTCAAGTTATTAGTATCAAGGGTTGACATGACGTCATGTGAGTATCTTAATAGCTCTTAGATCCGAAGCACTTTGAGGAGCATTAACTCATCTGATGTTACAGCTCCACCCACTTTCTGTACTGCACACACACAAGAATCACATCCGGACTACCACTGCTCAGTTCTAGGCTACAAGGTAAAAACAGTATTTGTTCCTTCTCAAAGAGGATAACCAGGCTATAGCAGATCTGAGAACCACAACACAAGAGAAACAGCCCAATAAACCAGAGCAACAGGCCTGAACAAGAGAACTAACCCTGGAGAGGCAGTCAAGTGGTAAAACAGTAACAGTCCTAAAATTCCATGGGAGTGCCACCTAAGGGGACTAAATTCTACTTTCCTCACTGGCAGCAAACAAGTCAACAATGGTAAAGTCTTGTAAGATAGTCACTTTCCTCTCCCTGAAAGATTTGGGTGGAGAACCACCCAAGGAGAACCCACCGTCCCTGTGAAAGTAGTTCTCTGAGGAATAGGCTCTCCCTAATCTCCAACAGTGGGAAAACAGGGCAGTTGGCCAGAAACAAGAAGCAACAGTCTCCAGTCACCAAGCAATCACATGCCAGCTACTCACCCAAGAGAAATGAAAACATTAGGTTCACAAGAAAAACACCTGCCCAAGAAGACACTTGGAGCTTATTCATCAGTTCTCAAAACTGGAACAACCCAAACTGGAACACCAGCCACAGGAGACCAGATAAGCAAACTATCATCTACACAATGGAACAGGACTCAGAGCAAGAAGTAACAAAGTAACAGACTTTGTGGATGTTACCACAAAGTAACGCAACCTTGTGGATGAACCTCACACAAGAGTTCATGCACACATACACACAGGTGCACACACACACAGGTACACACACACACACACACACACACACACACACACACACAAACAGGTATACACACACACACACACACAAGTAGAAGGGTGTGTGTGTGTCCATCTTGTAATGGGGTAAGTATTGGTATGGTTGTGAGGGGTATGGAAGGGATTTACTAGAGCAAACCCCTTTACCATTTTGTTATAAACTGCTATAGATTTACCTTTTTGATGTAGGTTTGTTATAGGGTAAATTCCCTTTACCTTAATGTTATATATATTTGAGTTGTATATGGAACCTCTGTCAAGCTTCACCAGATTAAGATATATATAGACAGGCAGACAGATAGATAGATATAAATTTTACACCCCCCCAACACACACTAGCAAATACTAGACTCCAAACCCAATGAACTCTATGAATGGATAGTAAGCTGAAAGAGGGAGAGGGTGACAAGCAACGTAGTAAATGGCTACTAGCAGAACCTAGGTGGCTGGGCAGATGGGTGCTAACCGAACCTCTGAAATGGCTCACAGTAAGAAGCTGTGGAGAGGAGAAGGAACAGCCAGTCCCCAGCACCACAGGGACGGAGGTGGCTGGGAGGTCATGGGAGGAAAGTGTAGTAATGCAATGTTAGTTTCAGCCCACAGAAAGGCCTCTCAAGGCAAGAACTGTGAACGGTCAGGCTGACCTGGTGACAGGCAACGCTGGCCAGCACAGAGTAAACGTAAGGTTGGTGTTTGGATCTTTGACGTCAACTCCTGTTCCTATGGGACCAGCTGCATCATTATGTGACTGTGGTCAGAATCAAGCCCCACCTACTCCAGCCTTGGCTGAAGGGACCCAGCTCCCAGTGAGGGGATAAGAGCACATGTGCTGTCCAGTTTTGACAACCCACTATTTATAACATCTCTAGAAGCCACTTTTCTAGATAGAAATCAAATACACAGATGCCAAGCTGAGCCTCACTCATCTCCAGCAGTTCCACACAGGCCAAAAGCAGGGAGCCTGCTGTTTCACCAACTGCTCCCCAAGAAACAGTCTAAGGTCCAAGCAGCCCTCGACCATCTGCACATGGATGCTCCACTTTGCAGATGAGCTACAGCAAAACCCGAATCACTAAGCAGAAGGCCCATCCCATAGCCCCAGTCTCTGTCTCTGTCTCTGTCTCTGTCTCTCTCTCTCTCTCTCTGTCTCTCTCTCTCTCTCTCTCTCTCTCTCTCTGTGTGTGTGTGTGTGTGTGTGTGTTCTGGAACAAACAGACATTATAGAAGCCAAAGAGAATTAAAGGAATACATTTTTCTGGGTGAAAAAAAAATCACTCATATTTTTGAAAGTTCAGTTTCAATAATTTTAAGATTACATCTCTGTCCCACCCCCACTCCAATGACCTAGATCATCAAAAATCTGGCTGCATAAAACAACATATGATAGACTTTGTCATGTGTTCAAAGAATGTGCTGGAAAATAGAGCAAGTAGGTTCTAAGCACTATAATTAGTTTACTGACAAGTCATTTTCACTGTTTTCTTCCCTATACAATCTAAGAGATGGCTAGCATGAGTGGACCCTATGTGTCTCCCCAGAAAAGAACAGGCCACCAGAGACCTTCTCTTGGATCTCTGGTACCTACAACTAGCCTCTTTTTCTCAATCTCGACTTTTTGGTTTCCAAGGAACCTGAATCATCTGAAGCTTCTGAACTCTAGACCTCAGAGGGACTATACATTTCAAATAAAACCATCTCACAAACCAAAACAACTTCTAGGCTGGGGTAGGGGTGAAGATGGGTAGATGAGTGGCCACTTAGAGGCTGTGGTGGTTTAAATGAGAAATGTCCCTACAGGCTCAGGTATTTCAACACTTGGTCAACAGATGGCACTGTTTCAGAGAGATTTTGGGGTAGGGAAGCCTAGCTGGAATAGAAAATAGTCACTAGGGGTCTTTGAGAGTTTAAAAGCCTCACTTGGAGTTCCTCTTCTGCATTTCAAGACTTATTCTTTTAGTTCCTGCTCCTGCTGCCATGCCTGCTGCTGCTGCCATGCCTCTGGCTTCCCATGATGGACTCTCATCCCTCTGAAACTGTAAGCCAAAATCAGCTCTCTTCCTTAAACTGCCTTTGTTTGGTCAAGGCACTTTATCATAGCAACAGCAAAGTAACTAATACAGAGGTCAAGATCCCAAAAAGGAGCCTGAAGAGCTTAGAGGAAGTCCCTGCAGTGCCTTTTGGGGGGAGGGGGAATCCTACTCCTACCCAGGAATCACTTTGTCAGTCACCAAGAAGAAACCTGAGATCCTCATCACACAGGATAGCAGGATAGCAGCTAGATCCAGATAACCACAGCTATAAGCAGGGCCATGGCAAGACTAGGGCACTGACATAAGGCTAGGTCTAAAAGAGGCAACGATGGCGCAATGTTAACTCTTTCCCAACTACAATCTCACTGCTTTCTGGCTAGAACCCTAAGTCAGTCAGTTAGAGGCACTGCCCAGATGATGATGGACAGGCAGCCACCACAGCTTTAGACTCAGCCACTACCCTGCTTCCAAACCTTCAGGGACACTACCACAACCTGGAAAAAATTAAGATTTCTGAATAAATAAAGCTCCCTCGGGGGGTAAATTTCCATCATGACCAACTCGTCTGGAAGACGTCTAAAGTCCTTCCTTCCCATCAGCAGTGATGCATGGACAGCTGATGGAGAGTCATCCACACTCTTCTCATGTATTCCGGCCTTCTCCACCCCTCAGCACAACTCTATCTCAGTGAGTAGAGTTTCCTTACCCACAGAGAACTATGCTAGTCCTGAGGAGCCACAGCTGCTGGTCCCTGTGGATGCCTTGGTGGCTGGGATTCTGCAAGCACAACCCCAGTTGGCTGCAGTGGCTAACACTGCTCCTTCCCATAACTAAGCTGGCCTCCCCAGGCTGGCACATGTAATCAGGGCCAGCATGAGCCTTTTCTCCACCTTTGCCTCTCCCCCATTCCAGTAACTGGGGCTCTAGTTATATATGAGACCAGAGACCATGCCAAAGAGCTGAAAAATGAAGATGGCCCACCTAGTTCTTGTCAAGGACATACTAACTCCTCTGTAAAAGCTCAAAGGGGGAGAAAGTGGATTAAAAACAATGAAATCAGTAAAACAGACAGGAAACCTGGCTAAGCCTGAATCACACTGAGGCCTCCCAGCAGTGCCAGAATGCTTTCCACACACAGGGAGGATTGATTCCTATTTGTCCCGGTTATGGATTTTCTTAGAAATAACCAGACTCCCTGCAAGTTGCCCCAGACAAGCACTGAGGCTGTCAATGGACTCTGGAAGTCCCCCTCACCTAGGTTTGCTCTGGATAAAGAATCCAGTGAGGCCTTCCAGAAATTTCTCAGGGAGCCTGACATCTAGGGATCATTCATTCACCTTCAACCAATGCCACCAATGCTCTAAAAACAATTCCAAGCAAGACTCTGAAAAATACAAGAAAGGGCTGGAGAGAAGGCTTAGCAGTTAAGAGCACTGGCTACTCGTCCAGAGGATCTGGGTTCAAAGCCCAGCACACACATGGTGGCTCACAACAGTCTATAATTCCAGTCCCAAAAGGTCTGACACCCTCTTCTGGTTCCCACAGCAGTAGGTATGCATATGGTGATCAGACACACACACAGGCAAAACATCCATTTACATAAAATGAAAAAAAGTTTAATTACAGTATTGTTAAATCTTCACAAGCCTTAGTCAATCTATTCAATTTCTTTCACAATTCTGAATTTCACTATGGATAATGGACAGTTAAGTGAGTGCCTTTATCTTCTGAACTGTTGTCCAAATCCCTCGGGACAGTGAGATGGGGAGAAAACCTCCAAGTCACCTGCTTCTTCCTAGCTGTTCCCTCAAGGGTCAGGCGGGCAAGCCCGCCTAGCATTGTAGTCAGAAAAGAATGCAGGGAGATGAAAGCAGGCTGAACCTTACTCCTCCCAGGGCCAGGATTAGCAAGCAGCTGCCTAAGGATCCCCAGCCCCTCCTTTCCCTAATTCCAAGAAGCTCCAGGCAGCCTGAGCCTCCAGCAGGAGTGTCTGCCAACTGCTCTTCAAACTGCACTTCCCAGGCTCGACAGATGTAGCTGCTATTCATTGCTTCCAGGGCAGGACAAAGCTTCCCCAGAAACAAAGCAAAAAGGCTTCAGGCAGGGCCACCTTTAACAGAAGCCACCTGCTGATCCCTCTTCCACCATGCCCCCCAGAGCACGCATTCGCACACACATACATACATATACATACATACATACACACACACACACACACACACACACACACACACACACACAAACATAGCTTTTTCAAACCTCTCCAACAGGTGCTGGCTCAGGTCAGGTGACTTTCTCTGAATCAATGGGCAGGTCTCTCAGAAAAGGAATGATTTTATTGTTACTTCTCAGATAGTATGCCATAGGATGCTAATCACTAGTCATACATTAGAGAGGCTCCTTTATGTCCAAATCACACAGTGTAACAGCTTCTGTTGGTGAGAACTTCTCAGGTCCTTTCATGTGGGAACACATCTGCAGGACTTCCCCCATCTATGTGATGTCACAGAACACTTCAGGGTTGGTGTCAGATCTTGGAGAAATGAACAGCCCCTTCTTTCGAGGTCACCCAACCCCCAGATTAGATCTTGCATCACCTGGCAATGGAGAAGAATCACCTTATTTGCATGTTTCTTCTATGAGCTTCAGCAAGAACAAAGGAACAAGTGGGTGAATGCACACACACACACACACACACACACACACACACACACTGCTACTCGGGTCCAGTGGCGATGGAGCTTCTACAGGGACCATTAGAAACTAGTAAGACAGACAGAACTTATACAACACTCAAAACCAGCTCTGGCTATGAATCATCTGTGCACATGCCATAGAAAATAAGGGCATGCCTCCCATGAGCCAGCTAGCTTTTTGTGTTTTTTTAATATTTATTTATTTTTATTTCATTTGCACTGGTATTTTTCCTGCATGTTGTATCTGTATGAGGGCATTGGATCCCCTGGAACTGGAGTTACACATAGTTGTGAGCTGCTATGTGGATGCTGGGAATTGAAACTGGGTCCTTTGGAAGAGCAATCAGTGCTCCTAACCACTGAGCCATCTCTCCAGCCCCAAGCCAGCTAGTTTTATTCCCTTAAGGAGCCTTCCCTACCCCTACCGTCACCAACTATCTTACAGTGTCTGTCAGAGTACCTGGGTGGCTGCTCTCAAGGTACACACCTACGTTGGAAAGCCATCAACACCATAACCATCACACATGATCTATGTGAACTCTGCCACCAGCACCCCTAACTCCAGCAGAAAAACCTGAATGGAGCAGGAGGAAGACCCACAGACCTTGACAGCAAGGGATTCCTGGGTATGCTCGCCCAACCTTCCTATCAAGAGCCAGATAAATAGTGGCACACAGACAGTGACACACATTCTGACATCACATAGATCCTCACAATCACTCAGAAATTTCATATTCAAATTACACATCTCACCTTACTCCCCAGAGAAAACTGTTAAACCTCAACTTTGGGTGGGAAAAACACAGCACCTGTACCTTGGGATGAACTTACAGAAAATAAGCCTCTGGACATCTCTGTGCCTTCTTGGGGTGTGGACTTTCTACTTGGTTCACAATGAAGCTGACCTCGAAAGGTATCTCCACTGATCTGTGTAGTTGAGCAAGTGCAAACATGAGTGTGTATACACACACACACAGACACACACAAAGAGAGAGGGAGAGACAGAGAGACCTAGACAGGCACCCACACTCCTACACTCCCACACTCCCACACACCCACCCCCCTACCCACCCACACACACACACACACACACACACACACACACACACACACACGCGCGCGCGCGTGCATGCGGGGGTGGGGGGAGTAGAGCACTCTCAAACACTACTCAACACACAGGAAGCCTCTCATGAGCTAGCTGCTCTTCTCTGAAAGTTCAGACAATTCCTGGCACATGCGTTTCTCAGAACACCTTTAACAGAGCTGCTGGTTGTGGTTAGTGTCTGGGCACCATCAAGAGGCCGGGGAATTCCTCTGGCTCTGTGCATCCTGGAAGGGAGGAAGCACTACGTTAGTCCTCCCTCCCGTCATCTCAGTTGTCTCTCTCTCTCTCTCTCTCTCTCTCTCACACACACACACACACCAAAAAAAAAAAAAAACAACAACCCTCAGGAGGTATCACCAAGCAGTACCGCAGGAGCACTATTTAAAAATAAAAATACAGTGCTAGAGAGATGACTCAGTGGTTAAGAGCACTGGCTGCTTTTTCAGAGGACCCAGGTTCAATTCCAGCACCCATATGATAACTCAGAACCAGCCGGAATTCCAGTTCTAGGGGATCCAACACCCTCTTCTGGCCTCCCCAGGCATCAGGCTTGCACCTGCATACACATAGGCATATAAAATAATAATAATAACAACATAATAATACATAACAGAAAATACTTGCATGAGCTTTATACCTTAGAGAGATGTCTGAGTTTATTCCCACCCTACCGCTCCAAAGTCTCTTTTTGCCCACTCAGCAAAATTAGTACAGCCTGGGAGAGCCTGGACTTGAGGGAATGCTGACAGCCTTTCTCTGAAACACTTTGCTCCTCAAGCCGCCCCAGCCCAGACAGCAAAATCAAGGTCCCTGCTGGCTCCTTCTAGCACCCACTCAGACCCCTTCCCCTCTACTCTTCTCACTATAGAAAAGTCTTTGGCTCGCTCATTCCTATTGGCACTGTAGTGGGTAGGGCTATGTTAGCTGCTGCTGAAGGCGACGCTAAAACACTTGATTTAAAACACTTTATTGTTTAAATACCAGTTTTGCTTCTGAAGCAGACAAGCATCAAATGCTGCTTGCTAATTATCAGCTGCTAAACAGCACTTTTCTCATTGGAGCTGATGCTGGGGGTGAGGGTGCTGGGCAGAGCAAAGGGGTCCAGCCCTCCTGAGAGCCCCCGCAAAATTCCCAAAAGAACAAAGACGCAAACTATGGGGCCACTCACGCCAGACACTGCACCTTGAAGAGTTCTGGGCGCTGAGCCTGCATGTGGGAATACCAAACACCGAGCGAGCCGCATTACTTGCATTACTTGCAGCTGAGCTGGCTGAGGAGGTGGAGGTAACTAATGAGGGTGTGTGCACCCGTGCAGGCGGGATCAACCGCCACTGGTCCATCTACAGTTGCTTTGGCCTAGAGTGGTAGAAGTGGGCAGGTAAGCTCTTACATGGGCCTCAGAGGATGAACAAAACCCCAGCAAAAAGGATGGAGAGGGATGAGCACAGGGGAGGAGTCAAGAGGAAACAGAGGTGTGTCCACATGTGCAGCAGGGAGAAGGAGTAAACGCCTGGAAGAGGGGGGTGAGGAGAGCAAACCCAATTTGCTTGCTTACATTTAGGGGTATATGCTTAGGAAGTAGGGGGTCTACTGAAGGTCTCTAAACAGAAGTTATATGGGTGGCTGAGTTCCTCAAGGTCTCCGAAGGAAGCAGATGGGCACCCTTGGGAGCATATTCGAAGCATCCAGAGCAGCGTCAGCAGGAGAGGACACAGTGAGGCCAAAGGTACCTGCAGTCATTCCAACACAATCCTTCTAGAGATCCAGACCTGTGCTCAGTCTCTGAAACAGGCCTAACAGCCAAAAGCTCCTGGGAATGGTACTGCTTCTCTGCATCTCCCCAGGGCCCCTGGCTACTGAGGCTCCCTGAAAATGTGCCTGGCAGGGTCCACACCTACAGCATGCTTGACTGACTGCTGAGACTAAACACAAGGTATGAAGGGACCAGTTTTGCAATAGTCTGAAGAAGATAAGGTGCACCAAAGGATTTTTACCCAATAAACAGAATAACATGTACAGTTTCGTTGAGGAAGAATAAAGCTCCCATCACTAAAGAATTTAAAAATAGGCTAGACAGATGGGTAAGGTTGCCAGACTCGGGCAATTCTGACTTGGGAGTAAAATACACATTCCTGGTCAAGGAGGGGGATGATGTAGAACAATACTCGATGACATACCTGTACAAAAATGCTATAATAATGGCTGGCAAGATGACTCGGCACATAAAGGCACTTGCTATGCAAGCCTTATGACCTGATGATCCCAGGAATCCATACTAAGACAGAAGAAGAGAACCAATTCCACAAGAATATCCTCTGACCTCTGATGTGTGCACTGTGGAAAATGTGCACAAAGACATACATACACTCAGTAAAAATTAACTAAAGTTTAAAAAGCAGAAAATGCTAGAATGAAACTCATCTCTGCAAGTTAAGTTTAGATTTTTAATTTTTTTTTAAAAAAGATACACACCTCTGAAAACTTCCACTACAAAGTCTAGGGCTCCATAAAACACAGGACAATTGCCCAGAAAGGTTCACGTTCACATGCTACCCACACGTGATGATCAGTTTAGGTTATGGGCCATAGGCTACATGAGCATCTCCACGATGGGATGTTGCCTGAAACAAACTAAATGCTTTGAAAAGATCTTTTTCTAAGTGATTGACTTCTAGCCACCCTTCCATAAGCCCCCTCCAAGTTTCGATGAATCTGGACCAGATTGACTATCTCTATTTAGAAAATGTTCTGTGATGACAGAATGTCCTCTACTTGTACAGCATAACACAGTGGCCACTGCAGACTACTGGGCACTAAAGACGTAGGTAGGGCTTATTCAATTTCAATTTAAGTAACTACATGTGAGAACATGAGAGCTGTTCTCACATTGGCCAGAGAGGTTTCTTAGACTAGAGCCTATGCTCTCAACTATGGAATCCTGGGGTAAAAATCCTGACCCCATTCCTGCTAGTCCTCTCCAGTCTGAAGACAGAACCATTAACTCAAAGAAAACAGGAAGACCGTGGAAGCCTTGTGTTTCTAGGACCTGAAGCACTGACAGGGAACAGAGCCTGAACAAAGACTCTCATCCCAGAGAGCTTTACCTTCTTCCTGGGACCACAATTAGCACAGACAGCTTACACCTGCCCTGGGCAATCCAGCATCCTACCAGCAAGGAGCTGTCCTTCCCAAGGATGACCACACATCCCTAGAGGACTAAAGCTGGGATCTCAAAGCTGGGATGCGCTGGAATTTGGGGGCTATGCTGAAGTACAGAAAGCCAAGACAAAGAAAATTAATCTGACCAAAGAAATACAGGAAGTCAGTTAAGTTCCACGACTTTCCCAAACCTCACAAGAGTTTTCGTCATGAAAATATATCATCTCTACATTTCCAAATACAACTGGATTCCTGCCCAGCTCCAGCCCAGAGGCCAAAACCAAGCATGACCAAAACTCCACATTAACATGAGTGATCATTCTAGTTTTGATCTCTGCCTCTTACCCACGGCTTTTGCCTAAATACACAGTCCAAATCTATCTACAAAGAGGACGGTTATCTGAGTTGAGAAACAAAAGCTGCTTCAACCTTATGCAATACCACATGAACACAGACCCAAGGAGCAGGAAGAGTGCTAGGTGGGCATCAGGATCCACTTGTTCTAGTCAAACAACCCTCAACATTCAAGGAGCGACAGCAACCTTCCAAGTGTGTGTCAATAGAACGGACATGTGGAGAACTGCAGACAGGCACGTTCTCTAGAGCCTCCATTCAAGTCAGGGCTACTTCCCTCTCTAGAGACACAGCTAGCCTGCTCCAAGGACAGCCTCTTGGAGAGAAAGAAAGAAAGTGTAGATGGGAAATGAAGTCCTAAAAAGACTACAATAAGAAAAGGACGGGTAGGTGGGGGCAGGCGGACAATAAACGATCCAAGACTACACATTTTTTTTTTTAAGTTTACTGGAAGATGGGTTTTTTTCCCCCTCCTTCTTACTCTATAAAAAGAAAAAAAATGTTGCAACTTCCTTTGTCACAGCACATGCTTAGGGAAAAAAAAAAAGGAGGCCTAACCCATTGCTTCACTTTCTAAACTGCACTAACGGACAGATCTTCCTTTCCCAGCCCTGCCCTCTCTTCCACAGGAAGCCAGAAGCAGAGGTGACCAGGGCTGGGCACTGCTGTCTGCCTCTACCTAAGTGCTAAACACAATTAATGATGATGTGGAGTACTCTGAGGCTCAGGGAGGAGAAAAAAAAAAAAAAAAGCATTGCAGCAACTTCGGCCCCACACTCCTCACCGGCTTCTACTCCTCTCCAGCTCTTTAGAACAAGTCAATGAAGAGAAATATTTTCTCCTTAGTCAACAAAAGGGAGTAGCCCTCAGGCCCACCCACTTTCTACAGATATAGTTTTGCCTGTATCCTCCAGATTGTCTCAGGTGTGTGGCCATATAGTCTCCTGGGCTGCACCAGGCATCGAGAACCCACCTCTACCTGCCCTGTCTTGGGGAGCCCACCCATGTGCCTCTGTATGCTTTACTTTCTCTGCTACTTACATAGCAGTAGCTCCCTGAGCCTTTCCACTGATAAAATAAAACTAAGTGTCAAACCAAAGGAGGATCTAGATTATAGTGCAGACCAGAGGACCCAAGCTTGTTTTCATTTATTTTATACACTCTGTATAAAACTGTAAGCTCAAGCCAGGCGTTAGTGGCACACACCAGATCTCTGTGAGTTTGAGGTCAGCCTGGTCTACAGAGCGGGTTCCAGGACAGCCTCCAAAGCAATACAGAGAAACCCTGTCTTGGAAAACATACATACACACATACGTACGTACATACATAAAGTGGAAGCTCCAGGCTGGGGTGGTGGTGGCACACGCCTTTAATTCCAGCACTCAGAAGGCAGAAGCAGGTGAATCTCTGAGTTGAAGGCCAGCTTGGTCTACAGAGCCAGTTCCAGGATGGCCAGGGCTACACAGAGAAAACCCTGTCCCAAAAAACAATAATGGAAAAAAAAAAAAAACCCTGTAAGTTCCTAAAGACAAGGTCTACTAACTATTCTTACCATTGTAGCAATTTGTACAAAAAAGTCATTTCATAAATAATAAAAATTAAACATTAGTTGCTAGGTCACCTATGTTCTGAATTATAATGGGACCATGGAAGAACTACTCAGAGACACTACAGTGAACTACAAAAAGACCAGGCTTAGAGTTAGACATTATCAGAACCCAGCAGGAAATCCCACCATCCATAGAAGTAGAAGAGGATTTATCAGGCAGGAGAAATAGCCAAG